ACCTTTCTGGAAGACTTCAGTATGTGCAGTTGGGAACCTGCCTGTCAGACCACCTGGTCAGCAGCATTGGAGCACCTCAGGGAACTGTGCTCTCCCCCTTCCTCTTCACGCTGTACACAATTGACTTCCAGTACAGGTCAGACCACTGCCACCTTCAGAAATTTTCTGATGACTCTGTGGTGGTTGGGTGCATTACAGATTGGCAGGAAGGAGAGCATAGGAACCTTGTGGAAGGCTTTGTTGAGTGATGTACAAGGAACCACCTGATCCTTAATGTGACCAAGACCAAGGTGATGGTGGTGGACTTCAAGAGGAAGAGGACTACAATCAGTCCCGTTACCATCATGTGCACAGGAAGGGGATGAGCAATCTCTATTTTCTGAGAAGGCTCAGGTCCTTTAATGTGTGCACCAAGATGTTGGCGATCTTGTACCAGTCTGTTGTTGTGGGTGCTGTCTTTTTTTGCAGCAGTCTGCTAGGGAGGCAGCATTAGAGGGGGAGATGCAAAAAGGCTCGACAAACTGATCAAGAAGACTGGTTCTGTCTTGGGATGCACACTGGATGGTTTTGAGGTGGTAGTTGAAAGGAGATCACTCAATAAACTCACCGCTATCCTGAACAATACATCACACCCCCTCCATGACCTACTGGTCAGACATCACAATGAGCGCTGGAGCCCCCCAGGGCAGTGTGCTCAGTCCACTGCTGTTCACTTTGCTGAATCATGACTGTGCAGCAGCTCACTGTTCCAACCACATCATAAAGTTTGCTGATGACACTACTATGGTTGGTCTCACCAGAAAGAACAATGAGTCAGCATACAGAGAGGAACTGCGGCGACTGACAGACTGGTGTAAAGTCAACAACCTATATCTGAATGTGGACAAAATAAAGCAGATGGTTGTTGACTTCAGGAGAGTACAGAGTGACCACTCTCTGCTCACCATCAACAACTCCCCTGTGGAGATTGTTGCGAGTACCAAGTTCCTTGGTGTTCACCTAGCAGAGAACTTCACCTGCACCCTGAACACCAGCTTCATAACCAAGAAAGCCCAGCAGCGTCTCTATTTCCTGCAGAAGCTAAGGAAAGCTCATCGCCTACCCATCATCCTTCTACAGAGGCACTATAGAGAGCATCCTGAGCAGCTGCATTACTGCATGGTTTGGGAATTGCACCGCCTCTACAGTGATTACAGAAGACAGCTGAAAAGATCATCGTGGGTCTCTCTTCCCTCCATCATGGACATTTACACCACACGCTGCATCTGAAAAGCCACTAAAATTGTGACTGACCCCACATACCCCTCACACGAAATTTCTCTCTTCTGCCATTTGGAAGAACGTATCGCAGCATTCGAGCCCTCACAGCCAGAGTGTGCAACAGTTTCTTTCCACAAACCTTCAGATTCCTCAATTCCCATGGACTGAATTGAAGGACACCCGCACGGACCCACACACATGTACATAACACCCACATGGACCCACACACACACACACACATATAACACATACATAACCATATGGGACTAACACACTCCTCACTTCTGCAGTTCCAAATTGTGGAACACTGTATAGATATAGTTACTGCATTTCACTGAAACACTTCATTTGATATGACTGCCTTGATCTGAATACTTCCAATTTTGCATATTTTATTTCCACAACATTATCTGACTTTGCATTTTTGCACAGTTTACTTCACTTTAACAATGTTAGCTGGTAGAATTACTGTATCAGCCAAATATTGTATACTGTATATTGCTGCTCTGGTTTCTCATACTCTCAGTACTGTGTACTGCCTGTGTTTTGTTTTGTATTTATTGTAAGTCTTCATATTTATTTATTGTACTGTATTGTCGGCACTGTGTTTATTGTATTGTCTCACACTTGTGTTCCTGTGTGGCACCATGGTCCTGGAGGAATGTTGTTTCATTTCACTGTGTACTTGTATATAGATGAAATGACAATAAAGCCTGACTTGACAGCGGAGCACCTTCAGCAACAGACTCATTCAGCTCCGCTGTAGCAAGGAACATTATAGGAGATTGTTTGTACCAACAGCGATTGCACTGTACAACTCCTCGTCACTGTGCCAGGACATTATTGTACACTGAGCCACTCATATTGCAATGCCACTTGGTTTATTTTGTGTATCATATTTCATATTGCGCTGTCACTTTGTTTATTTTGTTTATTTGTCAACTGATACTGCACATTGCACTGTCACTTTGTTTATGCATCCATAAATGTCAAATTGTTAAAGGTAAACTGTATAACCGTTAACATTTATTACTACAGTCCATAGCTAGTACTTCATTCACTGGAGGGACAGGCACCACCGCATTGTCTCCTGTTACTGTTTTACACATTATCAATGTCTGCCGTTTGTGAGTCTGAGGTAGATAAATGAGATGCAGTGTACACAGTGGATAGAATACACTTTATGTAGTATATGAATAAAAGATGTGCAAGATGACCATCTATATGTGCAAGCATAGATTTGCTGGACTGAAGTTACAGTGAGATCACAGTGAGTCTGTTTGGGGTGTGGTTGCAGTGTGGATTGTCCATAAAGATCATCATGATGATGATTCAGAAGTGTAGTGACGGTCTCATAGACCGAAACACCAGCACTACTGGCTGTCCAGCAGCCTGATGGCCCAGGGGATGAAACTGTATCGGAACCAACTGGTTCTGAACTTCTATATCTTCTCCCACTCTGCAGCTGTGTAAACAAACAGTGACTTGGGTGGGTGGAATCCTTTAGAATCATCCTGGTCTTCCTCAGGCAGTGGCTGGTGTATAAATCCGGGAGGTTTGGGAGCTGGACCCTGGTGATTTGCTGGGCTGTCCACACACCCCTCTGCAGAGCTTTCTACTCAATGGCAATGCAGTTCCCATACCAGGTGGTGATGGAGCCTGTTTAGAAGCTCTCCACAGTACATGTGCAAAATGTTCTGAGGATGTGGAGGTTCATGCCAAGCCTCCTTAGCCACCTGAGGTAGAAGAGGTGCTGTTGTGCCTTCTTTACCACCCATGTGGTGTGTTTGGTCCATGTCATGGCCACTATGAGCTCTTTGGTCTTGTCAACATTGAGAGAGAGGTTGTTCTCCTGGCACCAGTGTGTCAGGAAGCTGACCTCCTCTCCCTAGGCCTCCTCGTTGTCATTGGAGATCAGGCCCACAATCATGGTGTCATCAGCAAATTTGATGATGACATTGGGGCTGTGTCTGGCTGACCACCAGTTGACCACCATGGAGCTTCTTGCTATCCAACGCTGTGCACAAAGTCTCACGTGCATACCATTGACCCTTCTGATGATACTGCTGCAAATGGACAGACTTGAACTATTTAATTGTAGACACTGCTTCAACTGATGCTTCACCAATCACACGTTCTTTGATATTAACTTGTTTTCACATGTGGTCATACATTTTTTCCACAAAAAACATGGTTTATTGGCGTGAAGTTCATGTGAATTTTTTTTAAGGTTGTATCAAACTTTGTATCTCCAAAATAGAAAAGTTCTTTAATACACATTAATGTAACAGGATTTTATTAATAATAATTTTAGACCATTTCTATTGGTCCACTCATGAAATGTTCACACAATGTAAAGGCCACAAATATATATATATATATATATATATATATATATATATATATATATATATATATATATATATATATATATATACATATGTGTGCATGAACCTAGCTCTTTGTATATAGGCTCATTGGATAGTTTGCTGGAAACACCTACCACACTGCTAGTGTACAGTTAGAGACTAGCCCATCTGTTGAAGCACAATGTTATGTCATCATTGGTGAGTTTAACCCTTCATTAAGATGTTTTCTGGCTTCAGCCTGAAACATGTATCAAACTTTGTATCTCTGAAATGGAAATTCTTCAATTCAATACACATTAATGTAACAATATTTTAATTATAATAATTGTTTTCAAAATTGTGTGCAAAAAGGGTTTGTTATGTTGTTTTCATATGACACTGAGTGCCAAGCTTTGTGTAAACCCTCACTGGACACTTTATTGGAAACACCTTTAGCTCCACCGTGCTGGTGTACTAGCCCATCTATTGAAGTGTAATTTGTTGTTTGTTTCCAGTGTTTTCTGGCTTCAGCATGAAGCATGTTTGAAACTTTGTATGTGTGAAATGGAAATGTTCCTCCATTTAATAAACAATAATATGACAGAGTAAATTCTTACACTTCTGCAATAGAAATTGTGTACTAAAATTTACAGGACAAAAATGTCACATTTAAATTTATTCTCTATAAAGGATGTGTGCTTATTTTCACTTTGAAAATTAACAAAGCATGTCATTTGACCCAAGGTGTCAAACTTTTGCATATGACTGTACCTGCTCCTCCAGTTTCCTCCCATTTGTTTTGAGCATTTTCAACTCATTTCCATTGATTTCTGAGTTCTTTGACTTGGCTCTGTACATATCAACAGACAATGTGCATTGTTATTGATTCAGCTCTGACCACAAGGCTACTCATCCTGACAATATATGGTAAATCATATTTACTCTGGCCTGCATTTTGAAGGAGAGTGAATGTCATTTTCAGTGGTTTCACATTAAAGTAGTTGCTTTTCTGTTGATACTTATCGTCTAACTATTGAGGTTACTGTCAGTGACCGATCATTAAAAATGAATAAATGGTCATTTTTGTTGAATTGTGGATTTGCATAATAGGACTGGTTCTGATCATGTTGACAACATTATGTAAAAACTAATGTTTGGTCTTTTTTAATTACTAGATCTTACACCACCAATACACTATATTGAGAACAGTATTGTTGAGAGCACTGTAATGAAATCATATTGCTTACTTCATTGTCTGTTAAATTGGGTTTCTTGAAGACTTTGGATTCCTTTACAATAAATTTGATGCTTCAAAAACTACTTCTTCATCTCTAGAGACATGATTGTTGTAACCATTTATGAGTTTTCACAGCAATTAAAGACATTATACAATTAAAATGAACAAGATGCAAGCAAAGCCTTTATTTACTTCTATCACTTCACACATTGCCAAATGCTTCAGATGTGACTAATGGAAACAACAGGTAGACAATATTTTACTGAGAAAGTGAGTGTGAATGGGAAGGTTTAAAACATTGACAGAGGCTTTGACTTTTTAAAGTGTTTAAACCAATACAGTATTGTAAGGATAACAATAAACTGACTCTGAAACACATAGGCTACCAAGATTATGATGCTAGTGGCCCTGCTAAAACATCATCTGAGAAAAAAAACTAAAACATTACATTGACTAAACTTGATTGCATGTTCTCCTTTTGTCAAAATACTTTATTATACTTAATTATAGTCAGTTTTAAACAATATAGTATAAGTGTAAAGATCTACATTCCTGGTCCTTTTTTCCCGTTAATGTGCATTTTATCTGTGTCTTCACTCTCTGGATTCAGGTAGTCCATAATTCTCAGCAGTGTCTCCTCATCAGAATTCTCAGCAGTTTCTTCATGTTCTGCATGTGTTTCTTCTGGCATACTTTTCCCATCTTGTACAAAGTAATCCTGGACAGTGTGCTCGAGGACCAGTGGAGCACGCCTCTGTCTTTCTGCAAGCATCTCTGCTGCAAGGTAACTGGCAAGCTCATCTTCACCCACCATGTCATCATAGTCAGCCTCATGCTGATCTCTGCTGCTCTCAGAGAATGTGTAATCGGGAAGCTCTCTCTTTGCCATATAATAATTTAGTGCGGACTTGTACTGATTTGGCCTCAGGAGGGATTTGTTGTTAGGCTGTGCTGCATTTGCCAGTCCAAGGATCCTTAGGATGTTTTGAGTAACTCTGGTTTTCTCTGGTGTTTTGAGTGGCTGTTGGTAGATTGTAGTGGCTGGATTTTTGTATGTGTTGTATGAGCTAGTGTAACTGACTGAGGGTGTCTTTGACTGTGCTTGTGTGTGTTGCCAGGACTTGTCAGGTTTCTTAGTCTCTTCATCTTCTAACAAGTCTAGAATGTCTTCTGATGGAACCTGACGTTTTTTGGAGATCTGAATAAGCTGATACACAGACTGGGGATCTACGCTGTATTGCAGCTGAGCTGCCCTATTCTTATCTCTCTTTTCATCTTCCTCCTCTTCTTGTTCCCCTTTATCCTCCTCTCTGTCACTCTCTTCCTCCACCTCTACTTGTTCTTTCTCCTTTTCTTGATCTCTCCTCTGCTTCTCTGGCCCTGTGTTTTCTAGAACTTTCATCAAGTAGTAGTTCACCAACCTGTTAATGTCATCTGGGTCCTTCACTTTTTCCATCTCAATCAAGTCTGGTTGGTTTGATCTTTTGTCCTCATCATCTCCTTCCGCATCACTGCCCTCCTTATCCTGCTCTTCTTCAACTTCATTACCAAATCCACCATTAAACTCGTGTCTCTGTGCTTCTTCTTTCTCTTGTTCTGTTTTTTGCTCTATTGGCATCAATTCTTCCTCTTCCCCTGCTACATCCTCAAACACCATTTTTTTCTCCCTGTACTCATCATCATCTTCATTACTGTTGTCACCTTCACCATCCTCACTATCCTGCTGTTTGCTGTCAGCTTTAGAGTTTACGATTCGACTGAGCTCCTCAAACACTGATTGGAGGGTGGCCAGTTTTTGAGGTGTGTACTGTTCTTCTGCATTCTCGTTGCTCCATTTAAGGGGCTGATCCTGGCCTTGCTCATCCTTGAACATCAGTGGAAACTTTCTGTGGCGTCTGCGGATGCCTTGATTGGCCCACAGGCTCCTCCCATAATTCATTACATCACTCTGCCTGTCTTGCTGTTGTTTTGATTCAAAAGCAGGTGAGAGTGGAAAAAGTGGATCAGTGGGTGTTAAAAAATTGCTGGTAGCTCTGTAGGGTGTTTTCAGAGAGGTCCTTTGGTCATTAGTCTGTGGTAGGGTACTGAGAACTGCCTGGATCCACTGTTGACCTTTATCTTCCTCTTTTTCCTCCAATCCATCCCTCTCCTCTTCCTCTCCTCTGCCATTGTGCATTCCTGTTGATGTCTTTGCAGGTATGGCTAGCTGTAGCATGGTGCGTACATCATTCAGATCATTGTTGGTGACAGGGTCATGAGGTGTTCGCTGATTAAGGCTCTGGATGTACTGCAAGGCTTGTAGCATTGCAGCATTTGGTGGTGGTGGGGCTTGAGAGCTGGGGCGGAAAGTGTCAAGTTCATTGCCCCACAGGTGGGGCTCCCTCAGTGTTGCCCCCTGAACCCCAGTGTTCAAAGATAGGAACAGGAAGAGGAAGGAGTGTGACAAAACAAAAGACAGGCCTGGAGCACACAGTTGTGGCAATGACTGCATTGTTTCACCTGTGAAACAGAGAGAGGAGGGATTGAGAGGAGTGAATTAAAGTTTTGTATTACTAAATGAAATGTTACAATTTCTACGGTGCTGTAGAATACTTCTATAATAATTTCAAATTTATATAACATTCCAGAAATACTGTTTTATAGTCATCTATTGTGCTTGTGAAGTGTCCTGTTTTGATCTTTATATGAGTTGTTTATACAGGTAAATTGATGGATATAGTTTTCCTACACCTTTTTCTGTCTTATACACACATGCACCGATCAGTCATAACATTAAAATCAGCTGCTTGTTTCAACACTTAATGTCCATTTTGTCACCTCCACTTGTAGTTCTACAATAACATACTGTAATCCATCTGTTTCTCTGCATACTTTGTTAGTCCCCTTTCACCCTGTCCTTTAATGGTCCACAGATTTATTTGGGTGGTAGATCATTCTCAGCACTGCAGTGACACTGATGTGGTGGTGGTGTGTTAGTTTGTGTTGTGCTGGTATGAGTGGACCAGAGAAAGCAGTGCTGCTGGAGTTATTAAACATTGGGTCCACTCACTGTCCACTCTATTAGACACACCTACTGTTTCCGCACAATGTGTGTTAGTCACCCTCTAGTCCTTCATCAGTGGTCACAGGATGCTGCCCATAGTCTGGATATTTGTGGTTGGTGGACTATGCTCAGTCCAGCAGTGACACTGAGGTGTTTAAAAACTCTGCAATTGTAGAACTGCAAAGTGCACCTATATGGTAAGCAGAGCTAATAAAATGGATAATGAGTGTAGATTTTAATGTTATGCCTGATTGGTGTACCTGTAAACTATTAAGAACAGTGGTGTAATTGAAAGGGAGTGCAGGGGCCCAGAATATTTTTTTAACTGGCCCTTCCAGGCTCAGAAAGCCATATGGAGTGTCAGAAGATTCTCTGATTGGTAGCCTGACCTGTCAATTGATTTTGACCTGTCAAAGGTAAACTAGAGCACAGCGCAGCCACATTCATGAATATGTGAAAGAAAGCACATACACAGTCTACGCACAGGAAAGGGAATTAAATCAGAGATGTGAAGTACAACTAGCTGGCTAGTTAGCTTAGCCAGTAAACTAGACTATAGCATCACAGTTCGTGTTCACATCTTCGCAAAATGAACAAGAGGAGGAGATAAAGGTGGAGCTGAGAGGGAACGAGAGAGCTTCCTTAGAATAATTAATTCAGCAAGAGAGCAGCAGGTCGGACTCAGCCTCTTCTAGCTGCTTCTGCTGTAGACTGTTTCCCTCCATCAGGAAATACCACATTAATCCACCACCAACCGGGATGTTCTCCAAGTTCAGTCTTCGCTTACAAAAATAGTCCTGGTCTGCTTCCTAGTGTATTCATCTTACAACTGATTTTACACATTTTTTTTTTTTATTTTACCTTTCTGACATTTGTAGTTTAAGCTAAGGCCGATTTAAGTTTTTTATTTTAATAACATTATAGAGTAATTACAGAACAAAACAAAAATACAGCTACATTTAAAGGATGGAAGGCAACACTGAGCTTTAACTCCAAGTGTTCAAGTATTTAAAATATTGTAAAGAATGAAGCTTTATTTACACTGGAGTTGTTAATTTATTTACACTTGAACTATTGTTTAAGTGAATGAGCTGATTATGCTAGTGTTGTACGTCATGGATAGGTATTAAGGATGAAGGATATTTAGTGTCACAAGATATACAATTTTAAAGTCTGGAATCACTTCATATTGTAAACAAACAATAACAAGCATTTTGAAAATGATATGTGAAGCTGTTTATTTAGGTAGTCAGTGTTTATTTGTTCCAAAAACATTAACATTAGAATAAATACAAATAAACAACTAAAGAATCCATTGTGATTTAATATGTAGTAGTTGAACCACTTTATAAAGCTCTCCTGGAGGAAGTCCAATTTTTACAGTTACCACCCAAAACCTAGTTTAATAAGCAGTTCTTCATTACTTTAAACCAGGCGCTGCTGATGGAAATGAAAAAAATCCACGAGTACAGCAAGAAGTCAGGAACCAAATCTGCGATCTTTTAACTGTATTCATCTCACCTACATAATAAATAACAATTTCCAAACAACGCAGTTTTATTTGTATTTGTGTTTATTTATATTTCGAATCCAATGTTATACAGCCAACCAAATACGTTAGATTGTAGTCGGTTGAAAACCTTATTGGATGAGTGTTTACGGAGCACGCGGGTCGCAGCCATGCAGGCGAGCTAAAAAAACTCATTAGTTTCCAAATTGCTGCCGCGAGTCAATGACTCATCGACGGTTACTACGGAGACCGCGCGGCGCATAAGTCCCACAGCTACACCCGCTTACGCTTGTAACGGCTGAGGGAAAGACAAAGTGGGCTAACGGGTTCTGACAACTCAACAAATCGTACACTGTAGATTCAGCGTATTAATGGGATTTGCTTCAGGCTATATATATATATATATATATATATATATATATATATATATATATATATATATATATATATTATTATTATTATTATTATTATTATTATTATGAAATAATAATACCAAAAAAACAAATACCAGCCAGATATTTCCGTAAAATGATTATTCTAGAGGCTGAAAAGCTTTCGGAAAATGATTGTTTTGTTGATTTGGCTTGTAGGGACGTTAAGGCATTGAAACGCCACTCACCTGTGTTACAGTACGCTTAGCGGAATCTCTTGGGTGCGTAGCGCATCGTTCCCCCGCTCTTTCTCAATAGTGTTCTCCGACAGTGTGCGTGTGTGAGCGCAGATTCTGTCTGTTCAGAACCGCGGACAGCTCCGCCCAGGAGCCACCTGACTCGTGCGTCACCAAAGCAACATACGCAAAAACAGACTAAAATAAAAACAGAAGCGCGCACACACATTTCTGCTGGCTATTCAAGGTTACTTCTGTGTCAGACCATCTAAAATAATGAGTGAATGTAATACGTCAGACGATTTGTTATGGTTCCAAACATAAGAAACACCAAACATAGAAAACACTTTTCAGTGATTACGCACACCGATTGGAACAAGCTGCCTAACAACAGGTTCAGATGACTAATGTTAGCGCGAGAGCTCTCTCATTACGTATTTACCTTATTTACACTGTTTAAAAGATGGTGTTTCAAGGGTTCTTTAATAAAGGGAATGGATAGAGCCATGAGTTCTATATAGAACCATTTCTAAATGGCTCTTTCTAGGGTTCTTTCTATGGTAAAATCATTCTTGAGATTGATGGAGAATGCGTTGTATGTGGTTCTATATAGCACCAAAAAGGGTTCTTATAAGCTCGATATCCTAACAATGGAACAAAGCTTTTTGGTACTATCTAGAACCATTTTCAAAAAGGTTCTATATAGGACTATATACAACACATTCTCCATCAATTCGAAAAAACATTTCATAATGCAAAGAACTATTTAAACTAAATAGAACCATTCCCAGCCGTCTTTTTCAAAAGTGTAGCCAATGGAGGTGAAGCATAATGGTGCTGAAAAAGTAGCACGGTAATGACTAACAAAAAGATATTAGCCTGCCTTTGGGTCCAGGAGTGCTGTATGTGGGTCGCAGACAAAATGCCAGTTTTTTTGTGTTTTGTTTTGAAACTTCACAAAACCATTGTTTTATACACAAAAAAATCCATAAAAATATCCAGCTTGGTATGGATTGTTCTTCTGTACTATCCCTATCGACACCAGGAGTCGAAACGACTTGAAGGCACTTACAAGACAGAATTTTCCATTTCACGTTTCAGTGCGTGGTGAAATTCCTGGCAGGTTTCCCACAACTCAATCCCAAACTTAACCCTTTTAGTTTGAAAGAACAATTTGTAGTATCCAACATGGCTGGGGCCTTAAAGAACCTTAGGTTTTACTGTTTTATTTGTGTAACATTAATGTGAGCTACCGCTCACACTTTAGCTAATGTAGGTTAACTAGCTACTTTGCAAATATTCGTCCAAGCAGTGGCTTCTTCCAGTCATTGCTGAGGCTTTGCCTAGCCTTGGTCTGTGCAGCTGCAGCTGGATACTACTGCATCTCACAGCTTGTGGCAGCAGCGAAGTCTTCACCAGTCAGGCTAGAATAGGGGTAAAAACTGCATGGTTATGATGAATATTGAAAAAATCATGTTTGACCCCAGACAGGTCGCCAGTCCATCACAGGGCAGACAGACAGACAAACACATTCACACACACCTAGGGGCAATTTTAGCATGTCCAATTGGCCTGACTACATGTGTTTGGACTGTGGGAGGAAACCCACGCAGACACAGGGAGAACATGCAATCTCCACACAGAAATGACCCTGGTCACCCGGCCGGGAATCGAACCCATGCCATTCTTGCTGTGAGGCGACAGCGCTACCCACTGCGCCACTGTGCCGCCCTGAAGGCAAAAGCAGAAATGTGAATATTTTCACATTTACAGAATGTATATGTGGGAATTGTCCTGTATACAAAAAATGTTATTTAACAGAATTTAACAGAAAAGGAGTGATGAAGTTGTCTGTTGACTTGAAAATGTGCCAGTAATTTTTTGCAAGTTAATTTTTTTACGGAATGGAAAATGTAATTTTTTTTTTTTTACATAGCTCTTGTTATGTGGCTGCTGTATCTGGACAATGACAATTGTCAATGAAGGTGGATTTATGCACAATTCAGTTTTACCCTGGACAGACAAACATGCAAGTGATGACTCACACACAGAGCTGCAGAGCTGACAGAAAGAAAAGGGGAGCAGCTGTGTGTGTGTGTGTGTGTGTGTGTGTGTGTGTGAGAGAGATAGACAGAGGAAGAGATAGCGTGGGGGAGGGCGGTGTTGGGGCAAGCCAAAGACAATAAGAGTTTGTACAGAAGAACTGAACGTTTGCAGCGCGTTGGCCGAGCGCTGTCATTTGCGTTCGCGTCCTTGCGTGAAGTATGTTTCGGGCGTAACACAAGAACAATATAAACAAAGAATATGATTTGACAGTATACAATAGTGAAAAGAAAAGAAAAGAAAAGAAAGGCCTATCAGAGTAACAACTGAAGAACAGATGTATGAAAATCAATCACTGTTACTGACTAGTTGCTGTTACAGACTGCCACTGATAACTGAGACTGTGTGTGTGTGTGTGTGTGTGTGTGTGTGTGTGTGTTTGCATTTTTGGCTGCATGTCATGAGCTGGCTAGAAAGAAATCTTACATGATGAAATCTTACATGACTGCCTTTTCTTTGTGACAAAGAAGGGCAGAGGTCTTCATCCTTGCATAGATTATAGGGGACTAAACCAAATCACTAAAAATATCCCTTTCCTATACCTCTAATGCCAGTAGCCTTAGAACAATTATGGGTAGCTACAATTTTCACTATATTAGACCTAAGAATTCTTACAACTTGGTCTGTGTTGGAGAGAGGGACAAGTGGAAAACTGCATTTGTCACCACGAGGGCCCACTAGGAATACTTGCTTATGCCATTTGGGCTCTCTAATATCCCTCTGTCTTTCAGGCTTTCATTAATGATGTTCTTAGAGATATGATTGGTCAGTCTTGCACTTTCAAAATGTCCACCAGGTTCTCCAACGACTCCTAGATAAAGAGTTATTTGGTTAGAAATGTGAATTTAATTTTCAAACCATGCCATTTCTAGGTCATTTTATCAGTGCTATTGGTATCATTATGGACTTTAGCCCATTGGTCTTTGTTTTTCTCTTGGTTCTAGTTTCATTTCATTTTGTCCTGGTTTCTGCCTTGCTAAGGCAGAGGCCTTGTCCCAAGTCTTTTAGGAGAGTGAGGATAAGAGCAGTAACCTAGAACCTGAAAATATCCGTCCCTCAAGTGTGCAGGTAGCTGCCATTTGTTGAGAGGCTGATCAAGAGGTAGGGAAGGCTTTAGAAGAAGTTACCATGCCCACTCAGTGTCCCACAGTCCCAACTTTTGTACCAGAACAGTTTTGTGACTGATTATTCACTTTGGTCCACTCCTCACTTACTTCTTATCACCCCAGAGAGATATGCACCCAACAGTTCCTCACAAACTATTGTTGATCGGAATCTTTAAATTGTTATTTGCACAAATTTGTTTGTTGTGGATGACTGATTGTTACACAGTGAGGCGGTCTTGGAAGAGACTCATCAACGTATTGAGGCGGCTCTTCGGTGGAACAAGGACCTGGCTGATGACGAAGTGAGGTTGTCGACCAGGGACTTCAGGTTTGGGGAGGGATGCAGAAAGCTCACCCCCAAGTACAGTACGCTATTTAAAATTCTTAAAAGTCCCACTTGTTCTTGATCACTTGTTTTTGGTATTGACCCATTTAGCCTGTTTTTTCACTACAAGTTTGGACAGTTCTTTTCACATTAAAGCCTCAAAGCTTGTTTTTAATCACATGCTGACCTGTTTAGTCCCATAACAATTTTACACAATATGTGGCATCATGTGTATTTATTTCTGGTCAAACTGTGTAACATTTATCAAGCAAATTAGCTGTACATGACATGACAGTAGCCAAGAGAGCACAAAATGAACAGGGAAGGAGCAAACAAAGATTGCTTGAATGTAACTCAAATTCACTTTTTATACATAGAAATATACTTGGAACAGCTGTAGATTTTACAATATCCCATCTGCAACTTTGTTAGGTAAAAAAAAAGATCACTGCACACACAGAGATTTTGCACATCACTTTTACTGAATGACTTTCTTGCTAGTTTATAGTTCATTGTTAAAAAACACAGTTTGCATGTTTCTGCATTATTAGGGAATCGGTGGTAGTGTACCATAGGTTCTGTTTACTGTTTAGACAAAAGGCAACATCCCATTTTCATGGCATTACAATTATTAGAGATGCAAATTCCAGCTAACTGTCAAAGTTATGAAGCCTTAGCTATGCTAACAGGCACAACAGGATATATGTGCAGTGACATTTTCACGTACAACATGCCCCTTGCGGTCCAGTTTGAAAGTGGAATAGTACTACAAAGTGGGACGTTATGCGGATAATGTAGGTCAAGTTTTAGCTTTAATGTTTAAATATGGTCTATTTGTGCCATTTTGATAAATTCTTTTTCTTAAACTTGTTTATGTAGCTTTTTAATAGATTTTTGAAATAAATACACTAACACTACACTGGCATGTATTTGGCATAGCTGATGACAATCTAAGTCTAGTGTTTATTAACAACGTATGTTGTTTATGTACTTTTATGTACACTCTCCTACTTCTTTAAAATAACATATATTGATGGCTTTAAACTTAAAATTTCAATCAATCAACATTTATTTCGACTTGGAAGTACATTAAGGGTGACCCCCATTTACAATGCAGCCGAGCAAATTACACAGTGATTGAAAAAGTTGAAAGTTGAGTTTAAATTTATCAACTAAAACAAATGAAAATTAGCAAGACAAGAAGATTAAAAACAACAGCTCAAATAGGGAACAGGCATAAAATATCAATAAAATATATAATGAAAACACATAAGTAAGTAAAAGAACGAACGTAGATAAAAAGCAATAAGAAAACTCAAATTTTAGAAAATCTAATTATTTACTAGAGTAGAAAAGTCAAATAACACACACACCATCTAAACCACTTATCCTTCTGGGTCGCAGTGGGGTGCTAGAGCGTATCCCAGCTGTCATCTTGCGGAAGGCAGGATACACCCTGGACAGGTCGCCAGTCCATCGCAGGGCAGACAGACACACACACATTCACACCTAGGGACAATTTAGCATGTCTAATCGTCCTAACTGCATGTCTTTGGACTGTGGGAGGAAACCCACACAGACAC